CCAAATATTTTAATATTCTTATTAAAAAAATAATCGAAATTATTCTTGGATATAACAAATCTGAAGGAGGTATATTTGGAAAACTAAAAAATTATTACGGAGTAATTAAATATCAAGACCGTGGTACACCACACTGCCACATGTTAATATGGCTCCAGGGAGCTCTTAATCCAATTGAGTTGCGGGACCGTCTTCGCAGTAATAAAAATTTCAGGAGCAGGCTAATGAATTATGTAAATGAAATTGTTAAGGAAGACATTACTTATCTCTTTCCAAATGATAATTATTTGACCGATGAAATGTTGTTTGTCGAGTATAGCGCTCCAAAAACAATGTTAGAAAGGAGGACGCACCCATCATTTTTACCGATTCCAGATCCACAGTCTCCCGAATTTGATGAAAAACTTCGTTTGGATATTCTTGCAATAGCTAAGCGAACATTATTTCACAGGTGTACTAGATCATGTAAAAAATACAAACGTGGGAAATTATCTGATTGCCGTTTTGATTTTCCCCGGGAATTAGTTGAACCACCTGGAAAAATTTACACTGAGCTTGGGATTATAGCACTTCAACGGTGTAATGCATATATAAATAATCATAATCCTTACTTGACCGTTAGTTGTCGAGGAAACAATGATGTCAGATTTATTGCAACTACCAAACTAGCATTGGCATATATTCATTATATCACAGATTATATAACTAAATCTGACGCGAGTATTCACAACACATTTTTGATGTGTGCTGTGACCTTAAATAAATTTATAACCAAAATATCTGATAAAATATCAGATGAATTCATAACAAGATCGCGGCGACTTGTCACTATGTGCCTCAATAAAATGGCGGGGCAGACGGAAGTAACTGGGCCCCAAGTATCAATGTATCTTTTAAACTTGGGAGACCATTATACACCGAACAAATTTGCTTCAATCTTTCTTGGCTCTTTTGAGACGTATCTGACTTCACGGTATCCTGTTGAGAACTATGCCTCAAAACCAACATACTCAAATAATGATGAACTGGATGATAGTGATGATGAACTAAACGAAAGTGAATTTGTTAGTGATGAAATGTTCACAATAAAACATGAAAATAAGAAAATAACAGCTACAAATTTGCGTGTAGATTACATGTATCGTGGTGAACAGTTAAATAATATATGTCTTTATGACTATGTAGCAACGATTCACAAAGTAAAAATAACTAAAAAGGAGCTTGACAAAATTGCTAGACAGAAAAATCGTGAAGGACGAGTTACAAGAGTGGACAGATTCTTTTTTTGGGGCGGAGAAAAAGAATGTGATGAAACTTGCAATCATGACAATATACATCCGCAACATTCTACGCATATGCAAGTTCATTGGAGCCGTGGAAGTGAAAAAATACCTGTGGTTTGTGGAAAAGGTATACCGCGTAAAGATGATATCGAAAATGTAGATCGTTACGGGCTCTGTATTCTAATGCTCTTCAAACCTTGGACTACTGTGGATGACCTTATAATTGGACACAATTCGTGGCATGAAGCATGTAATAATTTTTTACAGAGTTTGGAATTATCATTAAGACTACAAACCATAATTAATAATATTGAACTCTTGCATCGGTGTGCAGAGGAAACTGAATTGGATAGACAATTGAATCAAATGTCCTGTAAAAACCCTGAAATTGCAAAAATTCGAAGAATAGAAAGGTCAGTGACTGGATACGATACTCAAGGTGATGATATCCAAATGTTGATTGATCAAGAAGATTTTGATGATGGCAATTTAAATTCTCTAAGCCCATATATGATTATGCGTTCTGGACTTCACGATATAAAATTCGTTAATGATGCAATGTTCCATTTATTTCTAGCAAATAACCTTACAAAGAAAAATCAAAATGTAACTGATAATATAGCCCATAATAATTGTGAGAGTCAAGTTCAGCCTTCATGTGAAAATGATGACGATTTAATTCAGAAATGGCAGGAAACTATAACGTTGAGAAAACAGGTAGAACGATTAACAGATGATCAAGAGCTTAACAAAGACAACATGTTTAGATCAACTACAAAAATTTTTACTAGGGAAAGATCAGGCAAATTGCAAACAGCAACGACTTCAAATCGAATAAATCTACTTCGAGATATTTCAAATAGCCTTAATGATGAACAAAAACAGATTTTTATGCTTATATGTGATCACCGTAATCGAAATTATCCTAGTAGCCCTAACAAACCATCTCAATTATTAATATACTTGGGTGGTGCTGGAGGCACCGGGAAATCAAAAGTCATTAAGGCCATTTGTTAATATTTTGATCGTGTTGGTCAAAAACAGAGTCTTGAAGTCTGTGCACCGACGGGTTTTGCCGCATCAAGTATTAATGGTTCTACACTTCATTCGCTATGTAATTTTAAATTTAATAATGATGATTATTGTGATTTGAGACATAGTTTTACTTACAAAGGTCCAAAAAAGACACTTCAAGAACGTTGGGCAAATATAGAGTATCTCATCATAGATGAAATATCAATGGTAGGACAAGAACTATTGTCACGATTTAATGCACGTGTTAAAGAAGCAAAATATCTTCAAAATGATACTGTACCTTTTGCGGGGTTGAATATACTATTCGTTGGAGACTTTATGCAACTTCCTCCGGTACTTGACCCACCATTGTATCGATCCGCTAGTATTAATAAGACTAAAACTAGTAAACACAAAATATGAATCAATTCGATACGCGTGCACTAGTGGCAGGGAATTGTGGAAATCAGTGAAATATATAATTCTCTTAGAAAAACAAATGCGCCAAATTAACGATTTAGAATATGCAAATTTGTTGAATAATTTGCGTTACGGTCAGTTAACAACATCACAGCGCGAAACTCTTTACAATCATATAATAATAGCGGATGAGATAAACTTACCGGAGTGGGAGAATGCTATATTTTTAGTTAGAAGAAATGATCTACGAATACAAATAAACTTTGAGGCTACAATAAAGCATGCAAAAAACCATAATCAGCCTGTATATTATATTTATACAGAAGATACATATAAGAATAGACCTGTCTGCGGCAATATAAGACAAAAATTTTTGAGTGTGTCAGATGTAAAATCGAACGCATTGTGTGGCATATTACCTTTGTCTATCGGAATGAGAGTAGCAATAACTATCAATATCTGCACACGTGACGGGATAGTAAATGGTGCACAAGGTGTTCTCCGAAGAATTGTATATGATAATACAACAGCTATAACAGAAGATGTAAATGTTGATGGAAAAGAAATTATTATTAACAAACCTCCTAAATATGTAATTGTAGAAATCCTTGGTCATGAACCGGGTCCGTATGATAACCTTCCTCCAAATCATGTGCCAATTTGTGCTGTTAAACGAAAATGCAAATACGCACATAAAATAAAAGATGGATTAAATATAACAAGAGAATTTCAAAGAACACAACTACCAATTACACCGGCTTTTGCATTTACAGAATTCAAGTGTCAAGGTGCTACTCTAAAAAAAGTAATCGTCGATCTGAATGGTGGAAACATAAGTACAGGTATATATGTCATGTTATCCCGAGTGCAAAAACTGGAGGATATGAGAATACTCCGACCATTTAACCAATCCAAACTTGATATTACTATTGATGCTGATCTCGAGAAGGAACTTGAACGTTTCGAGGCGTGTTCAAAAATAACCAAACAATTACTCACATGGCCAGATGCCGATGAATAGCAAATACGAGTGTTAAAACTTCTGTGATGAAAATAAACCCATAGATATAGGTAATCAAAAAACATAATGTACTTGAATAAATAAGATAAATATATTCTTAATATATAGCAAATAGTGCTATATTTATTGTACCACATAACATTTACCATTCATCTATTCCTTGCAAAAATTATAATTTTAACTGATATTCACAATTGTTTACAATATCAAAACTCAATTATCTATCATACATTATATCTTTGACATTATTAATTGAAATATAAAACTACTCTAATTCTAACGTGTAATATAATAAAAATATACACTTAAACGTAACTATTCTTTTACTTGAATCACGAATACTCGTCATGTGAGTGACAATAACCCGAAGCAAAAGCGACAATCAAAATTAAAATAACTATGCATAACAAAAGCTATTATAAAGTTAAAATAAACTATCGCTATATAATTAATAACATCATTATTACAATGATAATCATATAACGTAATAGTATGTAAGAGTATAAATAAAACATATAAAAAGAAACAAAATCGAATTCTTATTCTAGTTAAATCGAATAAAAAAAAACATACAATATTTATTATGAAGTAATGAATAAGTAAGTAATTATTAATTACAATCTGACTAAATTTCGTCATTTAGCAATAATAGCACATAACCTCGAGGCAATGATATCAGATTTTGCTAAAACTTATCCTAAAATACGAAAATTCCAAATATACATCCTTAAAGACTTCTGTGACCTTATTTGAACCCAACCAATATAATCCATTTAATCATTATATTTATACTGGTTAAATTGTCAACATATTATTGTCAATATTATGATGAACTAGAAGATGATCTCAATTAAAAATATTGCAATTTATACAGCAGATTACAGTATTACATTCGTGTGAATAATGCTACGATTTTAAAAGAATGAACGTTCTGTTATAAGGCCATATTTGAATTATAAAAAAAAAAAAGAAAAAATTAAAATAACGAAGATCTTGGCAAATTTACAATATTTTTTATATCAATAATAATTTAAATGCATAAGTAAACTAATTGTGACAATAAAATATGAATTACTTTATTAAATTATACAAACTAAAAACTTTACCGAACGCTACGTAAAATTATATAATTAATTTTTGGATTCCACGATTAGAATTTTATATCAGATATTTATTACATTATAATATCCCTAAACAATATAAAAAAATCGAAATTTAGCATACAAAAATAAAAAATAATCGTAAAATTTAAATAATATATCATGCCCTGTCATGTTGATACGATTGTAAAAATAAACCAAATACGACAAACTTACAAGGATGAGACTAAATTAACAATATATGCAACTGGTACTTATCCTGTTGAAAGCGAAGATCACGAACTAGAAATGGTTTTATTCATTCCGATAAATGATGAGGAGAGAGATCCCAACACACAATCGATTTTCGAAAAAAATGAATTTTATTGTGTTAGTGGAAAAATTGTGTTTCCAAACTTTAATAACAACTTGAAACTAAAAGTTATGTGAATCTAATCTAGAATATTGTATGAATAATAAATACTTATCAAAACAATATTGTAAAATTTAGATGACAGTCGCTTCTTAGACCCATCTCACAATTAAAAGAGACATCGGTTCAAACAGATGCCCGTTGAAAGCTTCGCTTGTCGGTATCATGCAAGATATGCCAACAGAAATCAATGATGAAAACGCGATAATTAATGTGCTAGTTGAAGATTATGCTGGACAAAATTATAGCTTCATTATTAAAATAGTATTTCTTTATCGTAACACCAGATTCAAACACTTGATGAATAATACTCGATCAACCGAATCAATGCTTTTTATCGTAGGTCAAATGGAAATCATTGAAAAAGATCTATACATATATGCTGTTGATATTTTCTATGTCAATATAAATTATGAAATAAAGAGAAAAGTCTTAGAATCGGAAAATTCTCAACTGACAAAGAGATTATACAGATCTGTTTGTTCAAAACTTCTAATTGCACACCAGAATGTTAATGAAAATACATCTGAAATTTCTGAAACTACAAATTCGGATGCGAATAAGGAAAAGGATGAATCTACATCTAATTTAACTATCGGAAACTCTAATTCAACAAGACATACAAGGGTAGAGGATGAAAAAGACAATTACATTGAAAATACTGACTTATATGGCGAAAATATAAATAACCATGATGATGAAAACGTAAACAAGAACGACGAATATGAAAAAATCACTAACGATGAAAAAAAAAAGTCTACATGCAATTTTGAAAAATCAAACAAAGGCAAAGAAAAGATGATCCAACCAACAATTCATAATACTAGAAAACGAACCGAATTAGCTAAAAATGCGAATTATAATGAAAAAACATAAAATTGCAAATTATATATTAACATTAAAATATATATTTACCACATAAAATTACATTTAAATATTATTATATAAGTACATATTTATCTACGATACTATAGGACTTTACATTTAATATACGCTGTAACATAAATTACATTTGATTTCTTCTATCCTGATTTTCTTCAGATTCGTGCGTATAAAAATATACCGAATATTAAATATAAAATAAGTACAAAACATAAAGAAAAAAAATAGTAAAAAATTTCATATAAAATTACAAAAAAAAAACTTACATAACAAACTAACACACAAAATGATACAA